AAGAAAATAAAAGAAACCCAGTGCTAGTGGTTCACATATACAATCCTAGCTATTCAAGAGGCTGTGATCTGAGGATTAAGATTCAAAGTCAGTCTGGGAAAACAAATCTGAGAGATTCTTCTTTTCTAATAAGATAAATTTAGTCACATATTTTATGCCACAAGAGTTCTGTCAATCCACAATGGCCTTCAGGGATGAATCACATTCACTGTATTTATCCAATGTTAACACATAATAGTAGTTTGTTGAAGGAAACTAAGGAGATTTTATACACAAAGGCAACTGAAAACACTTGGATTTTACAGACATGAGTTTACATGGATTTAACCAAAGAAGAAGTTCTTTCTTAAGATTGTATGCCAGTCTTTGAAACAAAATGACTATGACAAAGAAACTATTATACTTGAAATCTTGGGCCCTTGAAATCTTGGGCCCTGTTAAGAAGTTCTTTGTTGACTAAGCAATTTTATTTTTGCATGTACATTTCATGTACTTTGAAATTTGTTAAATGGATTTTTGTGGGGTGATATTTTAGGAAGGAAACAAATGTTAACCAGTTTGAAATATTTTTTTGCCAATCCTGGGGCTTGAACTTAGGGTCTGGGCACTGTCCCTGAGCCTCTCTGTGATCAAGGCAAGTGCTCTACCACTTGAGCCACAGCACCACTTCCAGCCTTTTCTGTTCATGTAGTCCTGAGGTATCAAACCCAGGGCTTCATGCATGCCAGGCAAGCACTCTACCACTAAGCCACATTCCCAGCCCTCGGTTTGCAATTTTATCTGTACAATATCAACATCTCGGTAGCTGTTACTAGATCTTACCTCTCTGTTGTACTAAGGAATTCAATATACAAGAATCAATTACTATTAGCAATTTAAACTTGAAAGTGACTATTGCTACTTTGAATGTGAATGTAGGATATTTCTGATTGTTTTGTTATTATAAAGGTGATGTACAGGGAGGTTTCAGTTACCTAAGTCAGGTAAAGAATACATTTCTTTTTGGACAATGCCACCCCTTCCCTAGCTCTCTCCCAGTTTTTTCCTCCTGTTCCTACCCACAAGTTGTAGAATATAGTTTTAAACACAGTGAGACTCTTATTTTTAATTAACCAAAAGCTGGAAGTGGAACAGTGTTTCAAATGGTAAAGTGCTAGCTGTGTGGGAAAAAGCTAAGGAAGAACGTGAGGCCCTGAGTTCTAAAAGGTCATAATGTTGTTTGTTTATTTGTTTGTTTGTTGGTCGTGCAGCTTGAACTCAGGGCCTGGGTGCTGTCCCTGAGCTTTTTTTTTTTTTTTTCTGCTCAAGACTATCACTGTACCACTTTGAGTCACAGCTCCACCTCCTGTTTTTTGGAGATTAATTGGAGATAAGAGTCTCTTGGACTTTCCTGCCCAGGCTGACTTCCATGAAATCCTCAGATCTCAACCTCCTGAGTAACTGGGATTACAAACATGATTCACTGTCCCCCCTCACTCCCCCCCAACCCCTGTCTCCACTTTCCTCCTTCTATCTCTGACCCTCGCTGCTTAAAGTTTGTATCTTGTTCTATTTTCTATACCTTCCTTTGAAGCAATAGGAATATGATCTGGATTGCAGACAGTAAAGGGAAGGGCTGAAAGGGGTTTCTGAATAATACTGTATATTATTATATCATTACAGGTAGGGAACCATTGGTATTCCCATTTCACAAATAAGGAAACTGAGGCCTAGAGTTCTTGAGACAAAACTCTGGGTTTAGAAGCCTCAGAGTCCTCAGTAGCACATAAACAGAAAAGGCTGGAAGTAATGCCATGGCTCAAGAGGTAGAGGGCTAACCTTGAGCAAAAGAAACTCAGGGACAGTGCCCAGGCCTGAGTTCAAGCCTCAGGACTGGCAAAAAAAAAAAAAAAATCTGAGGAAAGACAGTAAGAGATCAAGGAACACACATACCTTACAGAAAGCTGGGAGCAGGTGGATTTTCATCACACAGGGGTAGGGGTCTGGGAGACAGAAGCAGTACATACCATAGTTCAATACGTTTATGTAGGCACTTGCACAAAGAAAAGGCAAAGAGAAAGTGTGTTGTACATGACGCATAGCTCTGAGCAAATGTTGGCAGTTTGGCAACTGACAGGAAAAATGGCTTATGGGTAAAGCCATCCAAACCCAAGGTTCCAGCTCCAAGGCTAAGAAAATAAACCTTGGGACCTATTGACTGTTGCCGCTTCAGGTCATCCGGGCAGAGCTGACATGGTTCTGAACTGTTGCTCAAGGAACTCAAGTCTTTGGCACCCAACACATCCCCCTGTTTCTTTATTTAAAGCGGCATGTTGTGGAATTCTTAATACAGAATTTCTTCTTCCACCTGCCTGTCTGATGACTGGAACTTATTAAGAATCAAAGAGTTAAGTTTGACCAATAAATACTCACAAGTATTATTTATTTTTATTTATCCCTCTGTGGGTCTGACTGTAAAAATGCTGCAGAGGATCAAATCTGTAATGACAAAAGACAACAGTAGTCATTATTAAAGCTTTTTAAAACAGCAACTGATTAAGCTCTCCAGTTATTTTTATTGCATATAGTACTTCAGGATACTAATTAAGACCGAAACCATTGGAGATGTCACCAAGCTTTTTTAATTGTAACGAGGCACAAAAGAACATAGGTGACCTTCGTGTCCTTTTCATCTTCATATCCAAATGAATTCTGGCTTAGTTACACCTTTGCTTTAATTTTGACCTTAGGAAAAATCTTTTTTTTTTTTTTTTGGTAGGTGGTGGGGCTTGAACTCTGGGCCTGAGTGCTGTCCCTCAGCTATTCAGCTCAAGGCTAGCGCTCTACCTCTTGAGCTACAGCGGTTTTCTAGTGGTTTTTATTGGAGGTAAGAGTCTCACAGACTTTCCTGCCCAGGCTGGCTTTTAACGGGGATCCTCAGATCTTAGCCTCCTGAGTAGCTAGGATTACAGGTGTGAGCCACCAGCACCCGGCTGACCTTAGGAAAAATCTTTAGCTCAGTTTTTAAAACCACAACCAATTAGTTACATACCAGCTTTACTATTATTTTTTAAGTTCTATCTTATAAAACTTAAGACATACTCTACCATCTGCTACTTATTCCAACATTTGGTGGTTAGTCTTAATTTCTTCCTTTTTCCATTTCAGAATAATTAAGACAATTCTTACTTCCCAAATTCTTATCTAAAGGAAATCACTCACCACCCCCTCTTAATTATCTTCCAAAGCTTTTCTTTACAGTGTTTTTGTAAGATCTCTGTTTTGGGGTTGGGAAGGTGGCTCAGAGGTACAGTGCTTGCCTCGCACGCATGAGGCCCTGGGTTTGATTCCTCAGTACCACATAAACCGAAAAAGCTGGAAGTGGTGCTGTGGCTCAAGTGGTAGAGTGCTAGCCTTGAGCTGCTGAGCTCAGGGACAGCGCCCAGGCCCAGGGTTCAAGCAATACGCTCCGGGGTATTAGTGCAATCGGTGGGTTGCTTGCTGCCCAAGGGGCAGGGGACATGGCTGTCTGGACGCTCGGGTCCAGAGCTGGCGCAGGCTCGCCCAGCGAGAGAGAGTGGCCCCGCTGGGCTGAAGACTGACCGGCGACCGGGACAGAGCAGCAGGTGCCCTCGGCCTCCGGGGCGGCCTCTTGCACACCTCCTGCTTCCCTCCTCCAGTACTTTCCAAACTCTCTCCTAGCTCTTCTTCTCAAATCTCACGGCTTTCCATATGGGAGGCAGGGTTTTGTAGCGGTGAGGCAAGGAGTCCCCAGACCTAAGGCTGGGAAAAGTGTCCCCCCCAATCCAGGCCTATGAGGAGGAGGTGAGGAGGCGTCCATCCCCTGGGTCCCTGGCAACCCGGCCCCGGGAAGTGGAGCCCAGGATGAGGGCGGGGCCTTGTAGATTAGGGGACGTCCCTTAACTAGATGGGCGGAGCGAGGGAGTCCCTCCGAGGGAGATGTGGGCGGGACTTCCCGGATTATGGGGCGGTGCCCGAGGGCGTGGTTTCCCAAGAACGCTGGCTCGACCAACGAGGGGCGAGGCTAAACCGCAGAGGGCGGAGCTTTGGTGAGGCGGAGCTCTGGTTGGGGGCGGAACTAGAGGGGCGGGGCATGGTCTAGGGGCGGTGCTGTCTTGGCTCCTCCCCTCCCCCTCGGCCTCGGGTGTCCCCGTGACGAGGCAGCGCGGAGCCACCGCGGGTCCGGCCCATCCCGCCGCAGCAGCCCGGAGGCAGAGCAGGGGTGAGGCGGAGAGAGAGCAGCGCCGAGTGGGGCCCGGGGCTCAGCCAGGTGAGGCCGCCGGGGCGTAGGGGGCGTGGGCTG